AAAAAAAAAAAAAAAAAAAAAAAAAAAAAAAAGAATTATCCCTTAAAATATTTTCGCCACAAACTACAAAAGCAATGCCTCAATTTTCTTGCAATGACAGATAAGGCATTCGTTCGGCAAGTAACCTGACTCTCAAAAGCAATGGGCCATCACCTCCCAGGACCATCTATAATGTTGCAACCCCAAGTTTGAGAACAATGAAATGTCTAATTTGGTGATTTGGGAATAATTTAGGCCATGGTAGATTTAATCATTTTTAAATGTTTAAAACTCAGAGTGGTTAATTTTAATAATTGGCTTTACTATTTTTTTCTCAACAATTTGAGACCATTGAAATCTATAGCACTTCATAGGTTTGATCTGCTCCTTTTTCTCATCTTTCCTTCTGTAAGAGACTCTTTTGCAGTAACGACCAAATTGCACAGACCCCAACAAAACTGCATGCTTAAATAAGCACTTTGCTCTTTCAGGCAACATTATGGTTATAATATTTCACTTTCCCTCATTCTACACTTTTGCATAAAAGTTTTTCTTTTCTCAGATTCTAGTATTCTAATTGACTAGGGAGGAGCCAAGAATTCAGTATGCCCTTGCTAAAAAAAATTAATTGGAAGATCATTAGGCTGAGATGGCTCCAGCACTTTGGGTTGCTACATGAGCAAACTGAGGGCTGGCTGGTTAGCTCAGCTGGTTGGAGCCCGGTGTTATAACACCAAGGTGAAGAGTTTGAATCCCAGTACTCACCAGCTCCAACCCCCCCCACACCAAAAAAAAAAAAAAAAAAAAAAATTGCACAGGGTCATGGATGTGTTTGAGTACAAACCTTGCGGCAGGTGCTGGGAAGAGCAGCCCTCACAGGCACATGAAAGGCTGTGCTCTGGGTCATGCAACTATGTCCCTCTGCAGCCCACCCCCCACAACCCTTGTCATCACAGAGGCCTCATGGAGGCCCTGCAGCAAGAGGTGCCTTGTGCTCGGCGCTTTGTGATTACTTGTTGTACTGACCAACACTGAAGAAATCACCCCCAAATACACATCTGAGGGGCCGGCCCGGTGGCGCACTGCTACAGTGCGCTGCTTGGGAGCGCAGCGGTGCTCCCGCTGAGGGTTCGGATCCCACATACAGACCGGTTCCCGCTCACTGGCTGAGCGAGGTGCGGGCGCAACACCGAGGGTTGCGATCCCGTTGCCGGTCCCGGTCCGGTACGGGCGCGACACTGAGGGTTGCGATCCGTTGCCGGACACGAAAAAAAAAAAAGAGACAAAAAAAAAAAAATACACATCTGAGAGTGGGAAAGGAACAACGGGAGCAAAGGCAGGTGATACTGAATGAACTGCTCGGCTGGAGAGAGAGCAGAGCATCAGGTCAGGCAGCAGTTTGAGGAGCCACGCCCAGGACCAGGAACCCCAACACTGGACAGCAGGATTGAAAATGAGAGGAGGGAAGGGCCAGGGGGAAGAGGGAGGAAGCCCGGCAAGAACCAAAGTGGGTGAGGAGCACCTGGGCGAGGCCCCAGCCCAGGAAAGAATGATGGGGACAGAACAGAATAGACGGATGGGGACAAATGATGGCCAGGGAACAGGATGAACACAGGGGAGGCAAAGAGAGTGTCACTGTAACCGCAGAGTCAGACCTCGGTAATGAGGAGAGTAGAGGGGAGCAAAAGGCCCAAGGTGCAGGGAGGGACCCAGGGTAAAAGTATGGGAGACTGCTGAGGGGCTGGCTGGTTGGCTGGCTGGCAGCGTGGCGGCCAGTGCTCCACGTGTGGCAAGACTAAGGCTGGAGAGAGAAATGCCACCTGTGCCCTCAGGAACCCAAACATCCTGGGATCAGTGCAGATAGGATGCAGGCAACCCTGCCTCGGTGCTTGTCATCAGTTAAAGACATTCCTGAGAATGTCCTTTGCCCTCCTTGGGGGAACTAGTTAGGCCCACAGCTTGTCTTCCATGCCTCAACTATGTAAGGGAATATCTTGTCTCTATGTCCCCAGTACAGTGCCAGGTCCGTAAATCAATCCTCAGTAAATGCTGCTGGACAAACGCATAAAAACGCACAGGTCTCTTCTATCCTACAAGCACACACACCCTTTCCTTTCCTTTCCCCCCCTCCTCCAGCTAGCTGCCCATCTTCATTGCTCCCTGGACTGTCAATTGCTCTGGGAACAGCTGTCATTCTGCTGTCGCCTTCACGTCTCCCCAACTGTGGCAAGTTGCTCCCTGACTGTGGAAAGTTCCTGGACGTGACATTGGTCCTCACCCTCCCACAGAGGCTCAAACTCCCCCAGGGCAGGTCCGTGCTTCTCTCTTATGCAACTTCGTAGCTCAGTGCAGGACCTCTGTGGACACTGGCCAAGTTCTATAAGGTGCCACCAGCTGGGCCTCACCAGGGCCTTCCCAGGCTTGCCTTTCTCCTGCCACTGGCCCGATTCCGGCTTGTATCTGTACAACATCCTCTCCCACTTGGTCTTGTGTCATCTGCAGTGGCCTGGATGAGTGGGGGGGCTCCACAACACTTACAGGATCTGCTGGGATGGTTTATCACCAGGGCAAATGCTGTTTCCACTCTGGTTTTCTTCCAAGTGCTCACCAACTTAGATCAAATGACCGTTTAATAAATTAGTTACTTGTGTAAGATGGAAAATGTTTATCTTTTCTACTTGGAAAACTTAAAATGCCCACAAACCACACCGCTGTTTCCACTCTGGTTTTCTTCCAAGTGCTCACCAACTTAGGTCAAATGACCGTTTAATAAATTAGTTACTCGTGTAAGATGGAAAATGTTTATCTTTTCTACTTGGAAAACTTAAAATGCCCACAAACCACACTCTGTGTACAGTAACATGTACAACTTTAAAGAAAATAGCCCAGCAGTTTTGAAAACTACACCCGACTCAGCAAATCCTCTTGGGACAATTTTTAAAATCACTGGTCTATGAATCAGGGGTTTTAGTCCCACCAATCCCTCAACCAACAGCCTTGGGTAAAACAACTGCATGCTATTTCTCAGAGCTCTCATCTGTATAAAATGATCTATTCAATTTCCATCACACTAGAGATGACTCTGGCCCTTTGGGGGGCTGTATTCATTCTTCCACTTCAGTGAGCCTAGGTACAATTAAACATGCTGCCTATGTTAAAAAGCTTCAACTCAGGCTTTCAGACAAAACTTTGTAAAGTGCTCCCTTTGTTTTCAATGCCATGTCTTCAAAGTTGTTTATTGGCACTCAAGGCTGGCAGCAGTGTGCACAAATGACACACAGCACGGACATGGATATGGCCATACACACAGCAATACAGAATGGTGTTAGTTGTCACTTACTGAGAACTCAGGTGTGCTAGCAACATGCAAGCATTTTAGGAAGTTGCCTTTGTTTATAAGCACGCCAGTCCCATAGGGTGGTACCATCACCACACCCATTTTACAGGTGGGGTGGGATCCGATACAGAGCAGCTTAGTAACTTATCTGAGGTCATGATTGATGGGGTTGTGATAGCAACTAGCAGTCTGACTCCAGAGCTTGCATGTAGCTACAAGATAGACAGAGAGAAACAGGTCTGGCACGTATGAAGAAGTATATATAGACAAGGGAATCTGATTGATATCCAAGTTGAGTATCAACTTTTGTAAATCACATTACAAAAAGAAATCAAGCAGTGTGACAATAACTTTGCTTAACGAAATACTCTTTAAAAGAGTTTCAGGTACACAATACTTTTTAAGCCCCTGTATTGAACACTGACTTTGCCCCCATTTAAAGTGCCTTCATAAACGCAGACTGGGGACGCAGACTGTGCCAGGGGAGGTGAGAGGTGCTAATAACCAGGTAACTCATGTAACTGAGAACCATATTGGGTCCCAAACACTTGCTCTGGGCACCTAGTTGCAAAGCCTGACCTTTCTCCTCATTGGAATGTAAGACACCGGGAGAGAGAAGAGAGGCTTATTAATACATAAATTTAATAATTTCTACCTTTCTAGGAAGTGGGTGTTTTAAGGTGGGACTCAAAATCAGATAGGTAGAGTGACCTGCCCATTTTCTCACACCCAGTGAGCTCAAATTCCTGAGATACAGAGATATCTTTTTTAACTGTGCAGCTTTTTGGAGTCTGAATGAAAACATTAAAAAATTACTTTTTTTTTTTTTTTCCCTAGCTGGCCAGTATGGGGATCCAGACCCTTAACCTTGGAACACCCAGCTAACCAACTGATCTAACTGGCCGGCCTCAACATTTAAATTGATTTTAAACTTTAGGTCAGCTATTTACTTCACCTATGTAAAACCCAAAGGATGAGGACTGGAGAGAGCCCCAACTTATTAGAATACTTTAAGATTTCAGAAACAGCCATTAAAAAAAATCTATATGAACCTCCCCCCCACCCCCCAAGATTTCAGAGTCATCTTTAAGACCTCAGCTTGCGTTTAAGGTCTCTGCCTGGCAAACCACCCCACAGCCCTTGGGCCCTTTGCATAATGTGGAGGTGAAAGTCTCCGAAAATGAGCAAGTCCATTCTGGGGAAACCACAGAGCAGTTTCAGGAGACAAGGTTTCCAAGCTGCGGCTGGGTGGGTCACCTGGCCCGTGAGAAAACAGCTCCACCATCAGTCGATCCCCACGGGGGAAACGGTAGAAGAGGAGCAATCAACTTTTATCTCTTGGACCCTGAGGTCCTGATCTATGGGAACAAAATCCAGGATTGCAGCAGCGCCTAAACTTTCCAGATCAAAGTTTCACAATTCTTTTTCAACCCCCCCTTTCAGTCCCTTCTAGCCATCTCCGGCCTTTTGCAGACTCATGCCTACTTATTTCTGAACCCAGGACCCAGGGGACACAGGGACAGGACACCTGGGACTGAGGGGTAGGGAGCGGCGCGGAGAGGCCGCCCGGGAGGGCTCCTGGGTGGTGGGACACCGCTGGGAGAGGGCACAGGGGACCGAGGGGAGGCCAGGAGAGGAGGCCGGGTGCGGGGGCGCAGGGGACGCGGCTGGGCAGCCGTACCGTTGCACGTAGTGGACGAAGAACATGGCCAGGAGGACGCCGTTGGGCCAGCTGCGGAGGCGCTGGGCGGAGGCGCGGGCGCACTCGCACAGAGGCGCGGCCAGGGCGGGCAGCTCCTGCACGATCCAGGCCACGCGCGCCGGGATCGGGCGGCCGAAGCGCGCCGACGTGCAGCGGCCGTAGGGCGAGCCCACCCTCGGGAGCACCACCAAGTTCAGCAGGCCCAGGAGGCCCTGCAGGTAGGCGAGCGTGCCCAGCAGGTGCTCCTCGGCCAGCTCCATCCCCGGGGACTGGCGGCGCGCTCCATGGCCCGGCGGGCGCGGCGGGCAGCATATAGGGCGGCGGGTGGAGGCGGGAGGCGCGGCTACCTGAGGCCCACTCGGCCGCCGACACCCCCTGGCCCGGACCCCAGTCCCTCGGGCGCTGCCAGGGCTGCGGCTCTCGGGGGGAAGGACGAGTGGCCCGCGCAGGGGCGGGGCCTGCAAACCCGCCCCGCCCACTCCCCCGCACGCCGCCCTGCGCACGCGCAGAACTCAGGCTGTCCGCGGAGCTGCCTGAGCCTGCGTGGAAACCGGGGCGCGTCGAGCGGGGATGCCTGGGGGTCTGCTCCCTGGAGCCGCTTTCCCCCTCAGGGCTGTCCGCTGTTTTCCCTCGCTTGTTATTTTCCGGAAGGGCGGGTTGTGGCGCATTAGGGTTATTCCTCGCCGGTCCCTGCAGGTCCCTGAAAGGACCCGGCCCAGACGCGCGGGGGCCTTGGGCTCTGGCCGGAAGTCCGCGGGCGACCGCTCCGTGGCGGGCCGGTGTCTGCGCGCAGCGTGCGCGGCCGCGTGGGCCATGGGGCGGCGGTCGCGGGGCCGGCGGCTCCAGCAGCAG